GTGTGTGCGTGTGGCGTGGTGTGTGCGTGTGTGCGTGTGTTCGTGTGTGTGTGTGTGCGTGTGTGCGTGTGTGCGTGTGTGTGTGCGTGTGTGCGTGTGTGCGTGTGTGCGTGTGTGTGTGTGTGTGCGTGTGCGTGTGTGCGTGTGTGTGTGTGTGCGTGTGTGTGTGTGCGTGTGTGCGTGTGTGCGTGCGTGTGTGCGTGTGTGCGTGCGTGTGTGCGTGTGTGCGTGCGTGTGTGCGTGTGTGCGTGTGTGCGTGTTTCCCACGGGCAGGGAGAACTTTCTTTTCTGCCGCGGCCGCGGGCGGGAGCGCCGACGGCGAGGAGGGTCCGAGCGGGCCGCGCACGAGCCGAATTGCCGAACGCCGACGAGCCGGCGACCCCAGCAGCACCCAAGCGGGCCGGTCAGCGCGAGGGGGTGCGGGGGGCAGGAAGAACGCGAACTGTCAGAGGGCAGCCCCTGGGAGGTCGCGTGGGAACGAATAGACGGCAGTAGGGGAGGGTTTCGTGGGAACGATTCTCGTGGGAACGGTTTCTGTGGGGACGACGCAGCGTTAGAAAGGACGCTGGTCGTGGGAACGATCTTCGTGGGCAGCAAGCCGGGATAGGGTGAATGCGAGCTGTTAGAAGGAAGCATGCGAGCTGGTAAAACGACAAGTTTTCGTGGGAACGACCAAGGGGTACTAAGCCCGATTACGGGGCTGCGGAACCTGACTGACCCAGATTAAGCCCACGATGAAGACAGAGTAGACGGGATTGAGCGGAATCAACATGACGATGCCGAAGTGGGACGGTCTTCAACCACGGAACTTCCAGCGCCGATGCTGGACTTGACCTTACAGGAGCGACATCCTCAGAGCTGGAGCGGGCCACGGGGATGGCAGGAGCAGAGGAGAAAAAAAACGCACTAAGAAAATAATCCGGGACCCCCTCGGGTTTCTGGGCTGTCGCGAGCGGTCTCTCGCTCGCGCATGTTTGTCGCTCTGGAGGTCCCGGAAGTGCGGGTGGCTCCAGAGGAGGAGGGGGAGGAGGAGGAGGGGGAGGAGGAGGAGGGGGAGGAGGAGGAGGAGGAGGAGGAGGAGGAGGAGGAGGAGGAGGAGGAGGAGGAGGAGGAGGAGGAGGAGGAGTCGGGGAGGGCCAGAGCCTGGCGCACGGAACGCGTCCGCGGCGGAGCCGCGGGCGCGTCCAAGGGGGGGCTCAGCGCCAACCCGAGAGATCTGCGCCGACGGCCAGGAGAAATGACGCTCCTGCGTGATTCCTGCTGCGGGTGCTGGCAGCCGTTGCCCCCGCCCGATCTCCGGGGAGGGAGCTCGCTCTCCCTGGAGGGAGTTCCAGAGCCAGTCCGAGAAATCCGCAGGCCTCCGGCAACTTACGCTCATGCGGTCTTCTCGTTATTACCTTAAGGACTTGTTAACATCATGATTTTCCTGATGATTCGCATTAGCATTATCATTATTACTATCATTCGTACTATTATTGTTATCATTCTTATTCTTAGTAGTATTATTATTACTAGTATTATTATCACTATCGATATTGACCTTTTTCTTTGAGTGCCGGCAGTCGTCGCCGCCGCCATTTCGGGTCGCTGGGGGAATTGGATCAGCACCGACCTAGAACTCCGACGACGTGGCTTTTTCCATGACGTGAACGCCGACAGGTCTAGACCCCTTCCCCAGGGCCAGCGTTTCATCCCGAGTCGTTTTTCGACGGTCCATGGGCCCTGCCCGCAAGGGAGCGAGGGCCCCCGGAGGCCGAACGTTGCCAGAGGCCTCCTGGAGCAATTCCCTCGATCTGAACCTTCCGCGCCCTCCACGCGGCGGCCGCCGCGGCCGCCTCGCTGCGGCACCTTCCGCGCGGAAGGCGCAGAGGGCGCAGGTCGTGTCGTGCTGTTCCTTCGTCGTGCCGCGTGTCACGCTGCTCCTTGTGGCGTTGCTCCTTGTTGTCGAACTGCTCTTTGTCGTGCTGCACCTTGTGAGTCTGGTGCTCTGTGGCGTGCTGCGCCGTGTCGCGCTGCTCCTTCTGGTTGTGCTGCTTTGTGGCGTGCTGCTCTTTGTCGTGCTGCTCCATCCCGTCGTCGAAAGCAGCAAATGTCATGCCGCCAAACAGCTTCCACGCGCCGTCGTCCGTGGCAAGGCCCACCTCGCCGCGCGGGCGGGCCAGTCGGGACATCGCGACCGTCATTGTCGGCGGCATCACCGGCCCGCGGGCCAAAAAGGCCCAATCAAGTATGAAAGGGCAACAAATACGGGGCTGGAAAGCCTATAGGATGAGAACGAAACGCTGCATACGCGTATAGATGACTGCAACATCGTTAGCTTCAGTTATCGCTACGTATGCTCAAGTTCAGCATAGCTACATGTAACAATCCCTGACTCGCCTTGACTGGCTTTCATCGAACAACGTGTTGAACACAAGTGTACGCAAGTATACTTGGCTCTTGCAATTACACTGAAAGTAAAACGATATATCTTTGATTGGCCATTAATTGAAATGTTTATCGCTTCCACAGGACTGACTGCCGGCTATCGAGATCACCTTGCTGACAGAAGGACGCAGCCACTGGGAAAGGAAGCAGAGGATTTGCCCATCTGCACCGATTCTGGCAAGGCCCATCCTGGGACAGGGATCTTCCGCACAGGCCGCACTCCCGGCCTTGCTGGGGAGCCAACCGCGCGCACAGGGCGTGCTGGGCCAGGATCGGTGCTGGCGGACATCTGGCACAACCAGGAGGGCCTCCCCACCCACTCTCGCTGCGCAAACATGTAGAGTTAGGTCGGGCATGTCCCCCCACAGGCGGATATTGGAAGAATCTATATAATATAGTATACTATATAATTACATATATATATATATATATATATGAAGTTTAAGTGTACTCGCAAATAGTGAAAGGAAAAGCATATAAATAAATACCCCCACACAACGAAACAAACAAACAAAACGTCCATCTACTACTTTTCTCTCAACAAAAACTCCTTGTGTAGAGGGACATGCCCGACTCAAATGTAGGGCGCTCCAGGCCGGGCCTCGGACGGGAGGCGTTTCGCAGTTCTCGGCCTCCCGGGGCCCTCGCCGGGCCCCGAGGCAGGCAAGAGCAACAGAAACGACCTGCAGGTGCAGATCCGGCCCCAGGCAAAATTCCGAATCCTGCCCCCGCAGCCCATCGGATGCCTGAGTCCTTGATCGGCGAGGGTGCGGCCCGTCATGGGAGAACGAGGGACCACCGCCACCGAGGACCCAGCGATAGGTTGTCGGACCCTGGGCGGTGGCACGCCCGAGCGTCACCGGGCAGAGGACGACGCTCAGGCGTGCCACCGCAAAAAACGACTGCAGGGGCAGATCTCTGGGGGCCCGCGCTGGGGATAAGGACGCGACGTCGAAGCTCTGGGCATCAGCAGGGCGCCAGGAGGCGCCCGAGAGGATCCGGCGGGCGCCGCCTCTGGTTTTAGCTCGGGCGTGTTCCCCTGCAGGGGGATATTGGACGAAAAATTAGAAATACCCACAAAAAAACAAAATAGTCGACCAATCGTCCACACCCGATTTGTTCATAATCTTTAAACTATTTCTCCTGTAGAGGGACAGGCCCGACTTCACTCTTGTTCGAGCCTGCGCCAGGCCCTCTTCGGGCGCCTCTGCGGCGCACCCGCGGGGGCCAGACTTAAGTCGGGCCTGCCCCCCTACAGGGGGAGCTTGGGCGAAAAAAATAAAAATACCCCAAAAAGAATCCCAAAATGCTCAAGAATATCCCTCCTGTAAGGCCAGACCCTGGAAAGCGCCACGCGGAGGCCGCCTTGGCACCGCGAGGGCGCGCCCAGGAGGCGCCCCCGCGAGGCCCCCTCCGGGCGCCGCCCGCCTCCAGGCAAGATGGCGATGGCGATGCCCATGGCGACGCGGAGGAAGGAGGAGGAGGAGGAGGAGGAGGAGGAGGAGGAAGAAGAGGAGGAGGAAGAGGAGGAGGAGGACCATTTGGACCATTTGACCAAGCACAGTCGTGCGGGGGGGGGGGAGAGGGAGAGGAAGGCAGAACACCGAACGGAGGTGCTTTGGTGCAGGCGGAACCCCGCCTCACCGCCACACCCCCGCAACCGCTACTGGCCGGTTTGCCCTCCGCAGGAGGGCCAACTACCCAGCAGCGGCGGACGGTCCTCCGTCCCTTCCCAGGCACGCTCTCGCCAGGCTTCCGAAGTCATGCGCATCGAGGGCAGCCTGCACGGCCCTAGGTACCCCTTCTCTGCGGGGGTATTTGCCCTCCTCGATGCGGCTTGTATTCTCTCAGTCCTTTCGGGAAATGCCCTCGCACTTGGCCGCCAAGTGGCGCCCATTCACCGTGGCATATGTGCCACACGTGTTGCAAAAACTCATGAGGAAACGCTCCCACCGCTAGACGGTGTGGGATGGATGCACTTCCCGCCCCGCCGCCAACCCAACGCCTCCCGCCCCAGCCACGCAGACAGGGCGGCCACGGCACTGGGTCTTGGCAGCCTCGACGAGGCGAGAAGCTGGCACCACAATGCTGCACTCGCGGAATCTCCACGCTCCCCTGCTTTGCTCGAACAGATGACTGGAAGCGCGCAGAGTTACTTTCAGCTTTGAAGGGGCTGCTCTCCTCTGGACAAGGGCCCTGGCCCCACTCCACGGGTCGGCCTCCGCAGCCAGGGCCAGCGCGCGCCTCGCGCGCGCTCGGACCAGGGTGCTGATCGCATCCCAGTGGTCAGTCTGAGGCTCGCCCCCTTTCCACCGACGCCGCCCACCCTGTCCCCGCAGCATCCCCCGCCTCCTCATCAGCCAGGGAACTGCCGTGAATCAGGTAGGGATCGATTGGTTCGCTGAGAGAGTTGGCTTCGACCATGTGAGAGGGGACCCATGTCGGGTTCACCTCGTTAGACCTAGTTTGGAAGGCCACCCGAATTCTAGACCACAAGTCTTGAATTGACCCGTTCTTTTGGAACTGCCGACCTCGCCTCCATGCTTTCATGAGAGGCCCGTGGTCAGTCACAAACAGAAAACTCACAGGGACAGTCTCTAACGCGATGGCGAACGCGAGCAGCTCCGACCGATGGGACCGTTTGGCGCTGCCCTCCTACTGGAGTCGACAGTCCCCACGCCAGCCTCCAGCCCTAGTGGCGATCAGATTGCATGGTGATCACCGCCGTGCCACACCTACGCCTACGTGGGTCCGCACTGTGGGCCCCCCCCGATCCGTCTCCGAACACTACCACACACCCAAAAGTGGGGCACGGCTCAACAGCAGAAATCAGGAGCGGCCCCCGGGCCCGCCCATTCCCTTCAGCAAAATTAGCGAGGTGGGCGTAGCTCTTGAGCGGCACGCCTCGGAGCCACAGCACTGGACAACTTTCCCACTGCGCCTGGGCCTGCAGTCTAATACATTCACTCTCCTCAAATTCTTCAAAACAGACGTCGGGCGGGCAACCCCACACACGGTGGAAAAGAGCATCCGTGCACTGCTGGCACCTCGGGCACAGTGCGTCTACATCATATCCTAAGGCCGCCTGCCTCTCTGAGGCGAACTGCCTACCAGATACTGCTGCATTCTGAAGGCCTACAAAGTCATGCGCTTCGTTCGACTGGAACGCCCGAGTTTCTCGGCCAGTCCGGAGAACGCCCCCCCCCCCAAAAAAAAAAAAGGCTCCAACCCCTCACCCCCATAATGAGCGGCAGCCTGGGTCCAAAAGTGGGACGCCAAGTCCTGGAGTAGATCGCTGAGCAATTCTGTAACATCTGCGCCCTCCAACTCGAGCCCCTCATCGCTCGCACAAGGCAGCCTCCAAACCTCGCTCCCATTCGCGGTCGGTCGGCGCCGCGAGTCAGGGGCGAACGGGATCCATCCAGCTTCGTGTAAAGAGACGCAATCACAACACGAACTGGCCCTCGCACCCGACCTCAACGCAACCTGGCAGGCCAGAGATGGGGGGCAAGATGCTTCCACGCCGCACGGGTTCGGTCGCGGAGCTCTGGCGAAGATTTCCAAACCAAGTAAAGGACCAACTGACGCCGCAACTCAAGCCCAGGATTTTCGACGCCGAGGTGCATAGCGAGCACCGTAGTCAAACAACGGCCAGCCCCTCTCCCAGCGATATCCTGACCAGCCTGACGCCCAAGGGTTCGGATATGACCCGGGCTCACACAATACACTCGGTGCCCGTACACGGCTTGGGGAAGGGCCCCAGTGGTCCACAGAGATTGGACAATCTTAGACAGCTTGGCCGAACGCCTGAGTTTCCTGATCTATCTACCTACCAAGCCACGCCAACCAAACCCGAAAACCCGAATTTGACCCGAATTGCGGGTCGGGGGGTTCGGTTTCCATGTGCTTTTTCTATGTTCCCCGACCCCCCCCCATTGGAAATGGAAGGGAAATTGAAGCCTTCGGGTTGGGTTGGGGTGGTTTGGTGGGCGGTGATGATATGGCGGCACCTCTTGCTGGCCTGGGCCAGCCGATCCTTCGCATGCTGAAGAATCCTAGTCCGGCCCACTGTGGTGTCGCACCCTAAATGGACAGCAGACGCCTCGATCACATGCGGGATACCAACAGCCTTGAGCGCCCGACTTCTCCGAGCTCTGACCTGGGACGACGTGGCAAGGACCGTGGTCTTATCCGAAATGACAAGCCTAGCCCGCTGCAAACCTTCGGCTAGGACTTCTGCAGAGGCTGCCAGCGACCTTGTCACACTGTCTGCAGTAACTTCCGCCCTCGGGGCCGCGTCATCAATAAAGGGCCACAACATACACAACTTGACCTGCCGATGGGCGCGGTCCAAAATCGGAAACAGAAACAGCTTCGCTAGCGGCGCTCCCAGGCAGGCTCCCGCAACCAGGGAACGCGCTGGGTAGATGGCTATGCTGACCCCTTCCGTGGTTCTTCAAAAACCTGGGCGCTGAATAGACCTGGGCCTCTCGCGCAATCACCAAATCCGGAAAACCAACTCTGGAGGCAGTCTTGATAAGCATAACCAAACTCACTGAACCGCAGCACTTTTCAATGAATATCTAGGAAGAGAGTCGCAACCTGTGCCCAAGCGAGTACGTATGTCTCATCTGGTAGGCCACACAACAACGCCGCTCGCAAAGCTGAACTATAGTTTTAAAGCAGCGCCCCAGGGCCCCAGAGGTCCAAGCCCGAACGAACACGGCTCCAAAGCTTCAAGCCAGGCCCGAACGAACACGGCTCCAAAGCCTGGCAACATTCGAGAGCATGCCAAACGTTCGGTCGCCACGCTGGTTTGGCTTGGGCAAGAGCGCACATATCGCGGCAAAACCTTGCTCGGGCCACACTCCTTCCAACTCAACTTGATTTAGAAGGGTGGCCAGCTCTTCAAATCCCTATTCTGGCAAACGCTTTATATCGGCCACTCGGAGCACGTCTTTACCTGGGGCGTTCTTGGCGGGGGCCTGGTTCCAGAGAGAGGTGAGCGAGGGGGCCTCGATGGGGCGGGCCCACGGGGCCCTCGCCAGCCCGACGGAGTGCCCCCGAGATGGCCTCTTGCAGGGCTTCAGGGGTAACTACAGGATCCAACCATTTCTGCTGCCACGCCGTCTGCTTCTCAGCCACGATGGCCGCGGGGTCCGGAACGACCGCCCCTGGCAAAAACGACCGCCCGCGTGCAAAAGACATGGCTTCTTGTTCCATTGCTCCATAGCCCAGCAGCTCTCAAAGGCCCGGCGCGACGAAGCAACCCCCCGAGCGTGCGCTCAAGCTGCAAGCCTATCTGCGGCTCCGACCAATGCGGGGAGATCCTCATCCTCTGAAAACTGAGGTCGCACAGGCAGCCGATCGTTGCGCCGCCCAGCCCCTGCAAATCTTTACACAAACAGCCAGACAAATCCCCCCCATCAAATTGCTCGCATTGCTTGCGAAGCCTAATCACACATTGTCACAGCTGCCTCTCGTCTTTCCCCGAGAGAAGTGGGGAAACAGATCTGCTTAATAGCGCGGCGAGCATCAGCCACCATTCAGAGGGTCCGTTTGACGGGCGGGCTCGTCCTGGAGAGGCTCTCGCTGTTTACCAGGCCATAGAAAAACCTCGGGCGCGGCCTTGGAACGGGGCCCAGTCCGCCTCATCAACACGCGAGGCCGTCAAAATGGAAACCTCAACTCTGGCAACCCATCGAGCGCGCAGATCATCCACTCTCTGAGTCGCTTCAGGCCGCGCAGCTTGCCCTCCAGCTTCGTAGCATCATGCGGCAATGCGAAAACAAATGGCCCACCCGCAGACTCGCTCGCCTTGGCCCACATCTCAGCAGATACTTGGTACTCGGCTCCGTCATGCCGAGGGGCTAGCTGCCCAGGTGGAGGGTGGGCCTGGTCGAAACCTCGCAGGTATGGTGCCAATCGGCCCCGCCGAGCGAGTCGCGCCTCCTCTCGTCGGAGCGAGCTCTTGCTCGTGGGATCAGGTCGCTTCTTGGGTCTCTCCACCCACGAAAGCTCCATCGGCAACATCATGCTCCTATACCTGACCGGCTCCTCAGCGCGCCCGAAGGAGATAGCAATGCCGCGGCGGGTTTTCCAAGGCACCGCCAGAATAAGGGAAAGGGTCACCCTGTCCTTCAGACCCTCGCTGACGATCTCGACGCCCACCATGGCGCCCCCCCCCCCCCCATGTCACAGGTAATGGCGCAAGGCGGGGCGAGCATTACTCCCCGCAAGAACTCCTGGATCCGGGCACTCGTGATCTGCTCTGGGGAATGGTTCCAGTCGCCCACTATGACGTAGGGGTCCGCCAAGCTCCTCACGAAGGCCACCGGCGCCCTCAGAGTCTTCGCATTGGGCCCAGTCGCGAGCCCGAACTTGGGAGCGAGACACGCGCATAGCATCACCACATTGCCGCCTTTCAAATGCCACGCCAGGGCGGAGAACCCGTGGAAGGGAAGAGCCGTGCTTGATCGGAACTTGGCGAGGTACTCAAATGAGGAGGTCGCAACATGGGCGCGGGCAAGTATGGCCAGGCCTCTCTTGCAGACGTGCTTGTCTCAGAACGTCCGCTCGCCCTGGCGGGCGTGGCCACCGTTTCCCAACCATCCCTCCGCGCCGAGGCTTGCACCTCTGCTGCCTTATCTTCGCCGAGGTGAGTCTCAACGAACATGCACAAGTTGACCTCCCTTTGATTCGCCAAGAACTCGTGGATCTTGGTGCCCCACTCTGTGATGTTGCCGTACAGTGCTGAGACACGCTGCCGACTACATCGGAGTTGATCTATCTACTGCGATGGCACCTTTCTCTTTCGTCGAGGAGGCCACCTGCGCTCGCGTCGACTTCACCTCTGGCCCAGCCCCGTTGGGATGCTTCGGGGAGGCCGTCTGCTCTCGACCCGTCGCATCCACGGCCTGCAGCGCGGCCACCTGCTCAGCGCCATCTTGAACACGTTGTTGCACTTCTCCTGCCTGCAAGTCGTCTAGATACCAGTCGTGATCGTCAAGAGAATCGCGCCCTCCTGCCTCGGGGCCATCACAGTCTCTCCGAGGGCCTCGCTCGTCAGCGGCCCTAGAGACGCGCTCGTCGGGAAGGAGGGCATCGGCCACCCGCGCGTCCGCGGCCTCCTGCGTCCGATGGTTGGCCCGCTGATGGCAGTAGCCGAACCGCCTGTCCTTGCTGCGGCTAGCTCTGCCGACGATGCGGCTGCCTCTGCCGCAGGGGTGAGCGCGGGGCCCGGAGCCGCTCGCTCCGCCCCCGCCGCGAGTGCTGAGCCCGATGACCTGAACTCCGACGTGCAGGAGCCCACTAGCATATGCGGGGACGAGGGAGTCGCGGCCGCGTCCGAAGCTGACCACGATGAATTCGGGAGCTCCGTCGACGCCTTGGCCCCTGCCACTCCCACCCCTGTGCCGTTATCGTCGTCGTGGTAATCCCCAAGAAACTCGCCACGCGAAGCGCGATCCTGCAGGGCCACTCGGGAAGCATCGCCAACTCGGCGCTCCTTGTCCCATATAGCCGAGACCGCGCGCCTCCAACGCGATAGGTCTGGGAGCTCTGCCAGCGAGCCCAGGTGCAGTAGTGTCGCCTGTCGTGTCGGTCATCCTCTGCGCCATGCTTCCGAACAGAACTCCCCCGCCTCCTGGATACTGCACTGCGCGATCTCCATCGCGAAGGCCACGCGCCATCTCATCCACCTGTGCTCTCCGTGTTCGTTGTCATCTAGCCTCGTGACCCACTGGGCGGCGCAGCTCTTGAGCTGTTCAGCAGCTCTCTGCTTCCCCGCATATGGCCCCCACGCACTTGGCGCGCGGGAGCCATACCCACGCTCGCGACCTGCATGTGCAGCGGGGCCTGCGCTGTCTCCCCGAGGGCTACGCTCGCCAGCGGCCCTGGAGACGCGCTCATCGGGAAAGAGGGCATCGGCCACCCGCGCGCCCGCGGCCTCCTGCATCCGATGGTGGGCCCCGCTGCTGGTAGTCGCCGAGCATCCTGTGCCTGCGACTAGCTCTGCCCGGGGGGTGAGTGCGGGGCCCGACGCCGCTCGCCCTGCGCCGTGGGTGAGTGCTGAGCCCGACGATGTGGCTGGCTCTGCCGCGAGGGTGGGCGCGGGGCCCGAAGCCGATCGCTCTTCCCCCACGGTGAGTGCGGAGCCCGATGACCTGGACACTGACGCGCATGAGCCCATCGTAGCCGCCGCCCCTTCAGCGTCAAAGTGCCCGCTGTGCACCCTGGGCTGCTCGGAGTAGCCGCTGAAACTTATCATCAAAGCCATGCACAGCATGATGGTCGCCAGGAATAGGAGTATTGTCGGCGGTATGGACAGCAGACGCAGAGCTCGACGAAGAGGTTGCCCCTGCTGGCGCTGCCGCTGTCGGTGATGCTGGCGCCCTGGCACCTGCAGCAGCTGCTCCGCCCTCGGCCTGCTCCGCGGCTGGCTCGTGGTGGGCCTCTTCGCGCCGCTGCCGCTTGGCTTTAAGCCGCTCGCGCATATTGGCTGCTTCCTTGCGACACTGGCTCAGGTTGCTGGCCGTCTCGCCAAAGGGCTCGCCAATCTTCGCCTTAAGCTCCTTCGCGAACCTCGTCTGCAGCGCCTGGAACGCCTCTTTGTCAGCCTCGTCCACATCAAGCCCGTCCAGCTCGAAGGCTGACCCTACCTCGCCGCTCTCCAGGAAGGTGGTGAGGTTGAGAGCCCCCGACTTCTCCTGCACCGCTGGTGACACCTCAGCCCGAACCTGACCACGGGCACGCTGCAAGGCCAATAGGCCTCCTCTGCAGCCTGCTGTTCGCGAGCTGCTTCCTGAGCGGTATGAAGAGCGGTTTCCTTCCGCTCGAGGTACCAGACGTGCGCCTTCGCCTCCGACTCCACGGCCTTGTCCAATGCCAGCTTGGCCTTGCGCTCCTGCGCGCACTTGTGTTGATACTCTTGGTTTGGGTCTCTCGAGGCGCAGGCGGCGGCAGCTGTTGCTTGAGCCCTTCGGTCGCGGACGGGTCAAGATGCGGTGCAACTTCTTGTAGCGCCTGGAGGAGCTGCTCGGGGCTCGGGACGGTCTCCTTAGCCACCTCGGACTTCGCACTCCTCTTGCGCCGTCGGCGCGACTTGGGCCAATCGCTCCACTCCTTCCATCCATCATGTTGCTCGCTAGCGATCGCCTTCTGAACTCGAGTCTCCCATACGCCTTGCGCGGCCATCTAACGCCATGGTGGAGGGGCCACGAGCTCCAATGGCTTGCCGCAGCTGTAGCACTTCTCACGACCCACTTGTACCCGCACGCTGCAACACCTGATGAACCCCTCATGCATAACCATGACTGAAGGAATTTGGAGGCTAGTGAACCCCACGCCCTAGATACGCGCTCCGCTGGGAGCCTCTGGTCGCGCACTGGGGAACGAGGGACCTCCGTGAGGGATGAAAGCTGCCGCGGACTAGCAGTATCCGTTTTCGCCAATGCGGGCTCAGCCCGCCACAGCATGAGTCTTGAGCCAAAATGGCGATGGAAGAGGAGGAGGAGGAGTAGGAGGAGGAGGAGGAGTAGGAGGAGGAGGAGGAGGGGGAGGAGGAGGAGGAGGAGGAGGTGGAGGAGGAGGAGGAGGAGGGAGGAGGAGGAGGACGAGGAAGAGGAGGAGGAGGAGGAGGAGGAGGAGGAGGACGAGGAGGAGGAGGAGGAGGCGGCACGCACTCCAGAGGACCCTGCGGTGCACCCGCGGGGCAGGCGTCGCGACGGCCTCCTCGGCATGGGCGGGCGCACAGGGGGGCACCCAAGCGTGCTCGCGGCGAGAAAGATCACCACGGGGAGGGGGGCAGAGGCGTCCTAGATGGGGTCGGAGTAGATGGGGTCGAAGGATCGCGCCGCATCGCCGATACGTCGGTGATGTATTGGCGATGCATCGGCGGTGCACCGGCGATGCATCGCCGATGTGGGCGATGCATCGGCGACGTCGACGTGAAGCAAATCGGGCTCCGCATCGAGCCGTATCGCCGATGCACCGCCCCATCTACTCCGAGCCCATCTACTCCGACCCTCGTTGGCCACGTGGGGCCGTTCCCCCCCCTTCCCCCCTCAGCTGATCCGGGCCTGGGAGCCAGGATTAGGTCGGGCATGACCCCCGACAGGCGGATTTTGGACTTAACCTAAAAATGCACACATAATGCGCAAACAGATCCACCAAATACCCGAAAAAACGCTCAAACGTATGCGAAGAATCATCGAAAGATCGTCCCCAGACGATTTCCTGACCATGTCTGGATGCTCCTCCTGCAGAGGGGGCACGCCCGACTCCGTCCGGGAGCCAGGCGGCGGCCGGCCGGACTCTGCGGCCGGGCCACCCGGCCGTGCCAGGCCTGTCCTGACCCGGGGCGGGCGCGTCCCCGACGCGTCTCTCCTCGAAGTCGGCCCGCAGGCTCAAGTCGGGCCTGTCCCCCCACAGGGGGAGTTTGGGCGAGAAGAAAACCAAAATAGTCGGCCCATCGTCCCCACCCGATGTGTTCATAATCTTTGAATGATTTCTCCTGCAGAGGGGCAGGCCCGATGTCACTCTTGTTCGAGCCTGCGCCAGGCCCTTTTCGGGCGCCTCAGCGGGGCACCTGCGGGGGCCAGGCGTAAGTCGGGCCTGTCCCCCTGCAGGGGGAGCTTGGGCGGAAAAAATAAGAGTACTCAAAAAAAAGAGAATCCCCAAGTGCTCCAGAAGATGGTCAAAATAAGAAAGTCCCTGGACCATGTTTGGACTAGTTTGGAGCATCCTTCCTGTAGAAGGACAGGCCCGACTTAACCTCAGGCCAGTTTTCGGGACCCAGGGCCGTCCAAAATGGATCCAAGACGGAGGACTCCCCCGAGGAAACAGAAGAAGAAGAAGAATAAGAAGAAGAAAAAACGCTATGAACACAAACTTTTGGCGCTCCGCGCGGAGTTCGTGGATCTGCGCCGGAGCCCCTCCCTGGCGCGCGGAGCGCGCCAGTGGCGGCGCCGGAGGCGCCGCCGGGGGAGCCCAGTGCGGATCCAAGAGATCCGCGCGGAGAGCCAAAAGTTTATGTGTACGCCGTTTTGTCTTCCTCGAGGGATGGGGCTGGGACCTCTGGGGCTGCGCACCGCAGACATCGCGACGCCGGCTGTCTGGGCGGAGTGCGTTTTGCCCGCGCTCCGGTCCCCGCGCCAAGCGAGGGGAGCGGAGGAGGAGGCCCAGACGGGCGGCCGAGCTCTTACTGGGGCGTGGGCAGGAGCTCTTACGGGGGGCGTGGATCCGCCACCGCGCCCCTGCGGCACGAAGTGGAGCGTCCCCAGCGTCGGGCTTCCATGGGACGCACAGGGACATACTAATGCTACATGTCCTCCTTGGAGGCGCGCGTCCGACCCTAACATACGGTATACACATCTTGTAGCATCTCGTTTCCCGAGCGGTGCGGCCAGAAAGCGCCCGCTACGACGCATATACTATACGACTTCGCGGTGCGCGCGTCGCCCCTGGGGGGGCGACGCACATATAGTATTAGCATGTTGGGGTGGCGCCGATTCCATGCTGGGGATGCTTTGCGGGTTCCTTGCTCAATCCCTGAGCCTCCACGAGGCCCCCGAGAGGCCTCCCGCGACATCCCAAGAAACATCCTCGAGGCCTATGGCCCACAATCCAGGCTCGGTTGCGGCATGGTCCGAAGGCCATTAAACATGCTTGGCACAGGGAAGGAAAGCGCGTCTACTTTGTACAGGCGCGAGGTTGCTGGCAACGCCATGCTAAAATTAATGAATGTTGCATTTCCGGGCCTTCCTGGAATTCCTTTGGGGCTCTTTTTGGCAGTCTGTGGACCCTCTTGGGCCGTCCTGGGGATCTCTGGGGCCGTCTTGGGGGACGTGGGCCGTCTTGGGGCCCTCTCAGGGCCCTCTTGGGAACCTTCTGTGGCCCTCTTGGGACTCTCTTGGGACTCTTTTGGGACCCTCAGGGGGCTCTATTGGATTTCGTGGGGCTCTCTTGGGCCGTCTTGAAGCCAACTTCGGCCGTCTTGGGACCCTCTTGGCGACCTGTTGGGCCATCGTGGGGCGGTCTTGGGGGCCTCTTGGGCCGTCTTGGACGCTGTTCAGACCAAAGAAGCGAATGTACTAAAATGCACATGTTCCGAAAGGAAGGGAACGACGCTTACCATTTGATAAGTCACCGCTCTCTGTTGGGAGCCCTGGTGTTCAAAGACTTTTACGTTACCGCTCGCTCTTGGGAGCCTTGCTATGAAGGGTGTGTTACGTCACCGCGCTCTGGGGAGCCGTGTTGTTAAGAGCTTGTTACGTCAGCGCTCGCTGTTTGGAGGCATGGTTTTACTTCGCGTCTCTGGGGCTTCTTGGCGGTCTTTGGGTGCCATTTTGGGCCGTTTGGGACCCTCTTGGGCCGTCTTGGGGCCAGCCCAGTCCCCACACCCAAGCAGCCCAGTCCCTATTTACACCCTTTTGGAGCCGTCTTGGGGCGTCTTGGGGGGCTGTGGCCGTCGTGGAGCTTCCCTTGGGGCCTCTTGGGGTCCCATTGGGAGCCTCATAAAGCCCAGTAAATGCTCTCTTGGGGTCTTTTGGGGTCCCTTTGAGGCCGTTTGGGACCCTCTTGGGCCGTCTTGGGGCCAGCCCAGTCCCCCAAACCAAGCAGCCCAGTCCCTACACCCCTCTTTGAGCCGTCTTGGGGCGTCTTGGAGTGCCGTGGCCGTCTTGGAGCTTCCTTGGGGCCTCGTGGGGCGCCTTGGGGCCCTCTTGGGGGCCAACGAGCTCGGGGGCCTCTTGGGCCGTGCTGGGCCGTCGGAGGCCCGAAAAGGCGAGAGTCCCAAAACCTCACAAAAACCGAAAGGGTAATCAATGTCTTTGGCCTCCTCAAGGTCCTTTTTTAGGTCCCTGTTGGGCACTTGGGGGCGAGCAAATGGAGGCAAGGCCGGTAGGAGAGCCATTCAGGACTCTAGGTGTGTTGTTTGACACGAAATTAAGGAGGCTATACACGAGTGTCCTGGGGCCCTCTTGGGCCAGTTGGGGGCCCGTTGGGGCAGTCTTGGGGAGTCTAGGAGGACTTCGGCCGTCAGGGAGCTTTCCTTGGGGCCTCTTGGGGCCCTTCTGGGAGCCTCATGGGTCCCACTTGGGGCTCTGTTGAGAGCCTCCAGGGGCCCTCTTGGGCCGTCTTGGGGTCCTCTGGGGCCGTCCCCTTGGGGCCCCATTGGGGGCCTCTCGGGCCATCCTAGGACGATGTTTGCAGCCTCTTGCGCCGTCCTGGGCCGTCGGAAGCCCGAAAAGGCGAGAATCCAAAACAAAATCATGAAAATCGATGTCTTTGGCCTTCTCAAGGTCCTTTTGGGTTCCTGTTGTGCAGTCTTGGGGCCCTCTTGGGCAAGTTTGGGGCCCTTTTGGGCCGTCTTGGGGCGTCTTGGATGCCGTTGACCATCTTGGGGCTATCTTGGGGGCCTCTTCGGCCCTCTTGTGAGCCTCTTGGGGTATTGTCACGTCTTGGAGCCCTATTGGGCAATCTTTTTGGGCCTTCTTGGGGCCCCTGGGGCCGTCTTGGGGCGATCCTTGGGGCCTCCTGGGCCGTCCTGGGCGAGGAACGAAACAAACACAAAAAACCTAAGAAACATCAATGTGTTGGATCTCCTCACGCCCTTGGGGGTCCTCTTGGGGGGCTCTTGGACCTTCTTGCGGCCCTCCTGGGCCGTCTTGAGGCCACCTGAAATCATCTTGGAACGTTCTTAGACGGTCCTGGGCTTTCTTGGGGCGCGTTGGGCCGTCTTGGAGCCTTCTTGGACCCCCCTTGGGCCTTCAGGGGCGCTTCTTGGGACGTCTTGGGTGCCTCTCGGGCCGTCTGGGGGAGGGGGGCCTGGCCACTTAGATGCCATTCGTCCGCGCGTCGCCCCTAAACTGAACACATCCCTAGAGGGCTTCGCTCCACCAAAACGTTATTGCTCGTACCTCGCTCTTTCCGTTACCTGGGCCAGCACAGGAACGGAAAGAGCGCATCAGGAATTTGCCCAAGATGGCTCGCGGCACTCTTCGCTATTGGGAGCCTTGGTGTTCAGAGCTTGTTACGTCACCGCTCTCTGTTGGGAGCCCTGGTGTTCAGAGACTTGTTCGTTGCCGCTCGCTTTTTGGAGCCCTGCTATTCAGAGCTTTTTCCGCAACCACGCTCTGGGGAGCCGTGGCCTGGTTCTCTCCTCCTCCTCCTCCACCTCCTCCTCCTCCTCCTCCTCCACCTCCTCCTCCTCCTCCTCCTCACCCTTCTCCTCATCATCCTCCCCGCTTGTCCTCCTTCGCCTCCGCTCCTCCTTTCTCCCCCCCGCGTTCCCCCCAAAGGGCTGCCACAGCAGCTCGGGGAGCACATGGTCGGACAGCGCGGCAGAGCTCTGGCCGCAGCGTTTTCGGCCACGTGGGCGATGTTCCAAAAGGCCGGGGGGCGGCGACGATCCGCCGTAGGCGTCTTCGACAAGCACGGCAGCAGGCAGGCGACTGCCTACCAGGCCACCCCGACCCAACCCGAAGACCCGAATTTCGGGAGGTACGGGCTCAATAACTATGTGTTGTTTCAGTGTTCCCCGACCCCCCCCCTCTGGAAATGGAGTGCAAGGTTGAAGTCTTCGGGTTGGGTAGGGGCGGTGTGGTGGGCGGTGAGCAGGGGTGCGGACGGCGGAGGGGCGCTCGGGGCGCTCGTTGGCGCCCCGTCCGCATCGGCGCGGCAGGTCGGCACACAGGGCGGCGCGCTCAGCGCTGCGGCTGCTCGAGCTTCTGCTGCAGGTACTTCCACGTCGCGGTGAAGAGGGCCGCCTGGATGCCGTTGTTGAGTATCCTGGTGTCGTGGATGCCATGACAATGGGCAGCCTAACAATCCGATCAGTGAATCAAAAGTGTGTTTAAAACGTTTGAATAACGTTCTAAAAATGTTCCAAACATGTTTACAAATGCTTGAGACATGTTGTTATGTATGAAAATGTGTTGGACATCTCGAAATTGTTTGGCAACATGCTTCCTCTCCATTGATCGTCGTCCACAATCCTGGTGCCCAGTCCCCGACTGAACAGTCCCAGCAAGCCATCCTTGGCCACGATCCTCTGCGCCGCCTCCGCGTAAGA